TCCTGCTTCAGAATCACCTTCCGACATAAACTCAGCTAGAGAGAGAGAAAAATATTCTTTAATACCCACTTTCTTCAAACTGATTCACCATTCACTCATCACACATCAAAAGCATACACTACAGTTATTGTGTGAATGTAACTGTACTTAGCACCCAAAAAATGACTGTTGCAGTGGTGTGAATGTATTAATGATTTAATTTTGTTATCCTTTCACAGACAGATGTTTTGAAACATGAAGCATGTTTTACCTTTCCATCAACACTCTCTACAGCCATGCACTTGCCCTCAGCAAGAGTTACTACATCCTGGTTCTTCGGTGCCTCCATGCGACAGCTGCACAGTGGAGGTTCCAGCGAGTCATCAGCCTCCATGTTCTCTTTATCCTTCGGCAAACCTGATCAACACAAAAACTTGATTCCACTTTAGGTACCAGAAAGTGGATCTTTTACTGTTTTTGCCCTCTGATTCTAGAATGTCCTATGCAACTAAACCCTCCCTGATCTGCCAGTTTTTTCTTTTTTATTATGATGTAATATGAAATCAAGCAAGTATGCGACAAAAGGTGTTTCTTTTTTACAAAAGGTCTGCATGTATGTTGCCGTGTGGTCTTACTGCCTCACAAAGTCAGAATGCTCTGTCTGAAACCTGTCTCTGCTCATTCTGAGATCAACCTATCAGATGAAAACAAACAGATAGGAAGTATACACATTTCAAGAGGTGGTAGCATGAAATACATAAAAAGCAAGCAAGCGGTGGACCTCAATTCTATTGTCTTCAGGTGCAGATATTATCTACCTGTGGGGATTGCTGTGAACATGCTTTCATGAGCCAGAGCATGTATAGGCAGCTCTGTGTATTCTTCAGCGTGGCCTTGAGGAAGGTCCTCTGTTTCCTTGTTCTTAGGCGGTTCAGCTGCAGTTTCTGTCTCAGCCGCTGAAGTCGGTTTCTCTGGTTTCTCAGGACTAACTCGATTTTTGAATGCCTCCTCAATGGACATTTGTCCACCTTTGGATCCAGCTGTATGTGAATCCTCCTGCAGGGTTTGGAAACAAAAATCTTAAATGTTCAGATTTGACTGAGATGAATGACTCAATTTCACACATATGGAATTAGTCTCTAATGAGCAAGATATCAGACCTGCGCATTTGAAGAGAACAACGAGACATTCGGTTTCTTGGACACTTTCGGTTTCTTTTTGGGAACAAAATTATATACGCCCATTTTTCTTTTCTTCTTCTTGGAGGCTGCAGAAGAATACAAACAAAGGGACAGGCCATTTGTTTCACTCTCTTGTTTTCTAAAAAAAGAGGTTATAATGTATCTTAGCTTTTTAGCTAAAAGTCCTCACCGGTTTGTGTTGAGTCTTTGAGTTCCTGAGGTAAACTGAGCTGCTGTGTGGGCGAGGACCCCACATCTCTTTCACATGCACTTTCCTCTCTGTTCATTGTCTATGTTGTTGCATTAGTAAAAACAGACATATACGTAAGATATATAAAGTCTTTTCTGGGGGCAGAAATTTTTTTTAAAGAAATTAATGATTTTATTCAGCAGTCCAAAGACATAGTAAAGATTTACACTATTACAAAAGAGTTTTATTTTGAATAAATGCTGTTCTTTTGAACTTTCTAATAATCAGAATCCATGAGAACCCTGGAATTTTTTTTTATCATGGTTTCCACAAAAATATTAAGCAGCACAACCGTTTAAACTGTGGCTATAATAAGAAATGATTCTTGAGCACCGAATCATCATATTAGAATGATTTCTGAAGGATCATG